TTTAAAGAGCAGTATGTAAACTTTACATACACATGTAAATGTGGTCAAAGAATAAATGCAGGAAAGGAAATGCTATATATCAGATTTGCCTGTGGGGAGGAAGAGAGGTGGAAAGGATTGTGGGCATGAGGGTATAGGACTGTGTCTATAAAATTTTACCTCATAAAAAGGACTTTTGAAAGAAACAGAGCAAAACCTAGACATCTATTGAAACTAGATAGTATTACAGGCTTCTGGCTTGTTATTTCCTTTCCTATTCTGTATGATGGACTATTTAAAATTCTGTAAAGAGAGTACTTTACCATTAATCTAGGTACATGTATGATTACACAAATGGTGTGACTCTACGTCGTGTACAGCCAGAGAAATGAAAAGTTGTGCTCCATTTATGTACAATGAAATGAAATGCATTCTGTTGTCACGTATAACTAATTAGAACAAAGAAAAAAATTACAAAAACCCGCCAAAACCCCCAATATAGAATTTACTTCTCTGTTAAAAGTGTATATATTGTGTCTTATTTCTTTTATTTTTTATCATATCTATGTTTCAATCATAATTAAAGTTTTGGTTATCTCTATTTAAAAAAAAAGAGAAATGTTGCCTCAAGCAGTATGTTAAGAAATTGTTCATTTACCCTCTCCCTACACTAATTTTAATCTTGATTTTTCTTACGTATTAGGTTATATATTTGTTCAGAGATTGTTTGCTTGAATCCAGAAAGGTTTAATTCCTCACATAAAATATTTTGAGAGGTAGGCAGTGTTAGAATCCTATGACAGCTCAGTACTATTAGGAGTGACCTAGGCATTTCATGTCTTTCTGATTTGATGAACTGGCTTTTGTCCTCACAGTTACCTGTGGTCCAAGGTGAATTCTGTCCTTTTCAACATAATTCTAGAAGCATGGGGGAAGTAGGATAGAAGAAGGGCTTATCATTTTAAGGAAAGTTTTAAGGAAACATCCCAAAAGTTTCACCAAACACTTCAGATTATTACTGGCCAGAATCTAGTTACATGACTAGATCTTATAGAAAGGGAGGCTGAAAAATATATTCTTTTGTTGGGACCATTGACGAGGGTTTGTAACTAAGGAAGAAGACCTTTGATATTGGGTAGCAACTAGAAGTCTGTCAAAAATGAGAACCTAAAAATGATTGACTTCTAAATTTTAGCATTATTTTTATGTTAAGTGAGATTTAGAGATTTGAAAGCCTGTGAAGTTTTTTACATAAGCAATACAGTTTAAATGTAATAAAACTCATGAGTACTGTCTTTAAATTCAGAGAGAGATAAAATTTTGATGACTTTGTTATTGGATAAACAAAGTCATATCTTTTTTCAGAGTGAAAAACATGCTCAAAATGTTAGATTTTATTTTCAAATGCATGGGGAACAAAATGAAGTGCCTGGTAAGAGAATGAAGATGCATGTTGGGAACCTTATGGTGAGTGGTCTATGTTAATGTCATAATTCTAACCTTTGGGTCTGGGATTGTGGCTCAGTGATGGAGTGCTTGCCTAGCATGTATGAGGCACTGGGTTCAATTCTCAGAACCACATTAAAAAAATAAAGATATTTGGTCCATTTACAGCTAAAAATATTTAAAAAAATAATTCTGAACTTTGAGCTATTGAATCATTCTAACATGCTTGTGCTTATTTCAGGTGCATAGGAGTGGAGTAGTGGACAGAAACAAATTTTGTGATCTCTGCAACATGATTTTTAGCTCTCCAATTGTTGCTCAATCTCATTATGTGGGGAAGGTCCATGCTAAAAAACTGAAGCAACTAACAGAGGAACATTATCATGTATCTCCATCAGGATTTCAACCAGAGATGGGTAAGGTTCTACTCACCTCTTTTTGCTTTTTAGAGAGAGAGAGAGAGAGAGAGAGAGAGAGAGAGAGAGAGAGAGAGGAGAGAGAGAGAGAGAGAGAGAGAGAGAGAGAATTTTTAAGATTTTTTTTTTTTTTTTTTTTTTTTTTAGTTTTTGGCGGAAACAACATCTTTGTATGTGGTGCTGAGGATCAAACCTGGGCCGCACGCATGCCAGGCGAGCGTGCTACCGCTTGAGCCACATCCCCAGCCCCTACTCACCTCTTTTTCTTTAATAAAAGATCTAGACATCTTTTCCCTCAAACCTGCCATCCATTTTTTATCAGGCAGACTTTCACTTCAGTTTAAACAACTTAATTATTTTTCTTCTACTCAGTTAATCTCTTTCTGTGTCCTTGTCAATGGAGATTATAATTGCTAGCTGAATTTAAAAGGTGTTATGACATCTCACTTTCAGTTTGCTAAATCCAAATAAAGCAAGTGACTTGCTATACTGCTGTAAATATTAACAAGTAGCTAGAGCTCTATCAGTTTATAATCAAGTAATAAGCTCTTTAACACTTTCTTATTTCTGCCCCTTGGCATCTTCTTTATTGCTGTAGTACTTGCCAAAATGATGTCTTAAATGTGTGTTCAGAACAATGTTTTCACCATAATATAATCACAGATGCAGCCTTTCCTGGCTATAACTGCAGGCAAAAAGAAAGTTATTGACTTTCCTTTTACCCTGGCTTTCCATTTATTTCTTCCTATGAATATAAAGAAAAAGTACCACTAGCATTATCAATCAGTAGTTGCTGAGTAATTTTGTTATGTTAAATTCAAAAGATACAGAAAATTATAAAATATTATTTTTTCCCTTCTTCTTGTAATGTTGGGCTACCAGTGCAGAGAGATATGACCCAAAATTATCTAAAAAGGCAGAGCACACTCTGGGGAACCCAACTTCTATTTTGAAAAACTTGTGTGCAAAACAAAAAAGATGATGATTAATCCTCTGAAATAAATATTTTTTTTACATTCTAAGTAGCTTCAACCTTGTAGTTCTAAGGTATACCTGGCATGTAAAATTCATCTACATTAATTCCTAAGTCATTTTATAGGCATCACCCAGCAAAGTCAATGCTACAAGAAGCAGTATTAAAACTTACTATTTTCTTAACAAATGAAACCAGAATTTGTTTTTAAAGTTATTCTAGTCTCTTTAATTGTATTTTTTCTGACTGCCAATCTAATGAAGGACAGAATTAGTGTGCCTTAAAAGAGAAAGTATTTTATAACAACCATATCTTCCGTACACCAATATCCATTGTCTTGGCCTTGAGGAGAGAAAGTGAAGTAGCAATGAAATAACTGGAATTGTAGAAATAGGTATAGTTTCATGGTCTTAACTGCATCAATTTCATTCTGATGCAAACATTATAAATCTAGGCAGGGGCTGGGACTGTGGCTCAGTGGTAGCGCACTTGCCTGTTATATGTGAGACACTGGGTTCGATTCTCAGCACCATGTATAAATAAATAAAATAAAGATCATCAACAACTGAGAAAAAATTTTTTTAAAAAAGGAAAAGAAGAAGTTAAAATTTAGCCTAGGCAGAATAGGTGCATTTGCTATGTTACTTAAGAAAGACATCAACTTAGAGGTTGGTACCATTTGTTTTACACTAAGACAATTGTCATACTTTTATTGGTTCCTCAAATGAACCAATAAAATTTAGGCAATGCCTGATGTGGAAAATTCCTTCCCTCTCATGTCTTTATTGGCAAAACCTGGTGATAAATGAGTGTTCAAATTTCCATTCTCAAAGAAGGAAATTCTTTTTGACTTCAGTTCTTCTATCCAGCATCCCTGTGCTGAAAAAGTCCAAAGATGCTGGGTTTTTAAAGAATTCTAAATGTCTGTAATACTTTATGAATGCAGCTCAAATATATGAACACATACTGATCTCTTTTCATTATAACTGTTTCAGCAGGTGTGCCTGTTCGTACTTACACAGAGTCAACCTTCCTGAAGCCTTTTGCTGCCAAGCCTCCTCCAGGTGGGACTAAAGACAAGACTATGCCTTCCTCTTCCAGCAGTGCTTTGGATTTGAATAATCTGTCCTGCTTCCTTTAATAGTCCAATAATGGCCCAACAACATTATGTTGGGAAAAAAAAACACAAAAGAAATGAAGCTAGGAAGACATTTGTAGACAAGATAAGAGAGAAACCTCTTCCAGTAAAATCAAATGCAAATGATAGACAGGAACATTATCCCAAAACTCTTTCATGGGAAGTTCATGTTTCATAAAACATACTAGTTTATTTATATAACATTTTATTCTTATTGAGTGAGGGACTGAGGGTATTCATGGAATCATGGAATTTTAGATAAGTAAGGACTTTGAAGTCCATCTACTTTGATCTGTTTGTATTCTAGAAAATGAAACACAGAATGGTTTAGGTGACCCTTATTAATTCAGAAGTAAATATAGGTATTCACATGGTTGTATGCTATCTTAGGTTCATAAAAAGTACTTTAAATTTGTATTGTGATGGTACTGTTCATTCACTAAATATGGCTTAAGTGTCTCTTGTGCACTAGGCTGGCTATTCTTGGGAATACAAATGAGAATATATCATTTTCCCTGAAGGACCAAGTATGTAAACTCGTTGGGTTAATAACACTTTATTGCATGAGGATATATATATATATATGTTATTTGTGTATATATGTCATTTGTCTACATATTTTTGGTAACTAGAAGTGTGAAGCATTATGGTTTATAAGATCTTTATAGACTTCTGTGATTTCAGTTAACAGAAGTGGGAAGGAGAGATGATGAATGAAGAAACTAAGAAAGTCTGGCAAGAGTTCAGGCACAATATAGACTGATCCTGACTGGAGTGACCCACTTGCTCTTCTAACCATTTTTTTTTCATTTTCCCCCACAGGCACCTTCTCATTACTAGTATATTTTATTCCCCTTTCATACTTTCTCTTCCATCCATTTCTTTTTCTCAACTTGCTGTTATTTTTCAATTCCTTCTTTACTAAACTTTGCTATTTCATGTGGAAATGCTCATTACTCCTATCTTCTTGAAGCTCTATTCTTTGTCATATGTAATTCCTTATGCTCTGGTTCTTCTAATGTGTTTCTATTTCTTACCTGTTCTCTATATGGGCTCTTTCTTTGTGGTTGTTCATTACCTAGATGTATTCCCATAATTCCATTCTTGACCTTACTCTAGAAAACACGATTCAAATCTATTCCTCTGGTTTCATCTCTCATCTGTAGGCTTATGATCTTACTGTCAAACTTTAGACATACATATTCAAATGGCAGCTGCTGTTTTACCTGGATACCTCAAAGCCATTTAAAATGTATTCATCCAAAGTAGAAACCTGTGAACTCCCCAATGCTACTTTTTTCACTTTCTATATCTAATCAGGCACCAAGCTGTCACTATTTTATGTCTTTATCTCCAGCCATATTCTTCCCCTAAATTCTTAGATCCCTAACATCTTTCCTAAAGTAGTACTACTCAGATTGTGGGTTGTTGATCAACAGCATTGGTATCACCTGGAAGCTTATTAGAAAACATAATCTTAGGCCCCACCGCAGACCTACTTAGTCAGAATCTGCATTTTAACAAGATCCCTAGGTGATTTGCACCCAGTAAATTTTGAAAAGCATTATCCTTCCATAACCTCCTGACTACTCTCCCTCTCTCCAGTTTTTTTCTGCCCAAACATACCCTCAATTAAACCACTGAAGTGTTTTAGTTAAGATGCAAATATTTTCTTGTTGTTCCCCTTCTTAAAAAATCCTCCATTGTCTCACCATCTCCTAAGAATAAATACTAAGCTTCATAGCTATGCACCTTCTTATTCTTGCCTATCTTCTCCAGGCTCACTCTTTTCTGCTCCCTGCCATAATCTATGCAGGTCATTTCCTGTGAACCATTTGTGGTTTCCAGAAACCATTGTCTTGTTTCTTGTCTCTATACTTTTGTTCATGCTGTCATATTGCCTGAAATAATTCCCATAACCCTCCTCTGGCTAACTCCTATTCATTGTTTAAAATGCAGCTGCTACCTGGAAGCCATTTTACTTCCTTCAAGGCTAATTTTCTATGCTTTCTTAACTTGCATTTCCAAGTATCTCTCCATGTGTTTTTATCTCCCATTACAATGTGAGATCCTTGAAGGAAGGGGTGTTATTTAACTCTTATAATTCCAGTACTAGAAATAAAAACTGGCATAAAAATTAGTCCTACCTCAGTAGAGATTGGTATAATATATAAATCAGTGAACTGTTAATTAATATTTATCAAGTGATTACTCCATGTTTGTACTATTTTAACCTACTTAAAGTGATTTAACATATCCCCCAAAGTTCCATACAGATGTGATTTTATCTATGATCTTATTTTATTTCTTTTTTATTATTTTTGTACCAAGGATTGAACCCATAGGTGCTTAAACGCTTAGCCACATCCCCAGTCCTTTTTATTTTTATTATAAGACAGGGTCTCACTAAGTTTCTTAGGGCCTCACTAAGTTGCTGAGACTGGCAGGATGTGATCCTCCTGCCTCATCATCCTGAGCTGCTGGGATTACAGGTGTGCACCATAACTCCTGGGTATTTATGCCTTTAAATGTTGATTTAAGCAAGTGTAGAAATAGAAGTGATAGGGCTTCTGAAGGTAAAAGATGTTTAGAGAAATGACAGACTTCCTGTTGTTAAGATATTTTTCCTATCTCTGAGCTGAAAGTATCTGAGATAAGTGGCTTATAGTTTAGTGGCATAGAGTAAATTTTAATTGAGTCAACTATGAGTAGTGTTTGCACTTTTGTCACTATTAAAGGGGAAATCATTTTAGTACTCTGAAGTTTCAAGGTTATTATAATGAGAGATAAAGAATTTTGGTGAAATTTTCATATGATGAGGAGGGAGGGGAATGATCATCAATTTAATTCAGTCATTGAAGTCATTTTACACTAGTTTCTAAAGCTAGAACTCAAAGAATAGATTTGTCCTTTCTTGCCTATTGCCTGAAGAGCAGTAAACATTTGAGAATTTAAAAATTGCTAGAGAAATTAAATTAACTAATGAGGATTTCAAAGAACTGTGGCAGTAGAAGCCCATATTACAAATAAACAGACAGTAAGAAAAAAACAATTTGACATATGCCACCTTAACTCTTTCACTCTTTACCAATTTCTCCTTTATGTTTCAACCTTCCTCTCCATCTGCTGTTGCTTATATGTGTTTCTTCCATATTAATCTCTTTTCTCGTTTTTTTTTCCTTCATCATTCTCACTGCTTTCTTTATGTCCTTTATCCAGCCCAGGCCTTATTAGCCCAGGAATGGCTACCATAACGATATGGAACTAAAGTATGTATGTATTTTTATTTATTGTATTTGTTTTGTTTATCTTACTAATTTCTAGCTCTATTATTGCACTTAATGTCTTGCCTTCACATGCAACTCAACGTATCTAAAAGTGAATCAATAATATTCTCTAAAACTAACTTGAATTTCCCAAGATTTCTGTCTTTGCCAGTAGGACCATTATTTATTAGCCATCTATACTTGAATCTTTGAGGGCATCTTTGATACTTACATGCTGTCCATCCTCAAGTATTATAAAATATTAGAACTGGTTCTCCTTTCTGTAGTCCTTTATTGTATTTCCTCTACCATCATATTGCACCTTGATGCTGTAAGAACCTTTTGGAATGGCTTATTTGTACCTCTTACATTCTCGTAATGAAATATTATGTTTTCCACCTTTTCTATTTCAGCATACAGGCTACTGAGTAATGCTGAGAAAATTATATAAGTTTAGAGATTGAGTACCTCTTCAGAGTCTTGGTATCTAACCACTTTGGGTCTTTAGTCCTACTTAACCTTTTTCTTTTCCTTCACTTTTCTCCTTAGCAATCATTTTTAATTATTTTTTATTTATATATAACAGCGTAATGCTGCTATATATAAATAAAAAAAATAATATAACCCCATTCTTTACATTCTTATTATATATAGAGAGCTCAATTTTTCATATCTCTGGTTGTATACACAGTATACTCAAGCCAATTCATGTCTTCATACATATACTTTGGATAATAATGATCCTCACATTTCACCATCATTAATAATCCCATGCTCCCTCCCTTCCCCTCCAACTTCTCTGCCCTGTTGAGTTCCTCTATTCCTCACATGCTCCCACTCCCTATCCCACTATGAATCAGCCCCCTTATATCAAAGAAAACATTTCGGCATTTGTTTTTTTTTTTTTTCGGAGGGGGTTGGCTAACTTCATTTAGCATTATCTTCTGTAATTCTGTCCATTTATCTGCAAATGCCATGACCCTTAACAATCATTTTAAAACTGTATCACTCTCCAAGACTCTCTTCCCTTGCTCTACGCTCCCCCTCATCACACTTCTTAGACAAGCTTCTTTCTTAATTTTATCAACAAGGAATTTTCCATCAGATGTGGATTACTAAGTATCTTGCCCTTCCCAGATCCTCTTCCTCCTCTAACCCTAAGCACCCCCCTGCAGATACTTCTCTTATAACCCTGAGTTCCCTTTTAACTACAGCACTCTCCTTGTCTCCTCGGTAGCCAAGTTTCTGTTTTTTAAAAACTTATTCTACCCTTACTGTCTTAATTTGTTATTCACTCACTCCTCAATTCATTGCCATTGTTGGTCCATATTCACCCAGCCTTCATGCTACCACTCTATCATATCACTCCAGTGAAACTACTCCTCACTGGGTCATAGTGACCTCCAAATTTCTAAATGCAGTGGACATCTTTACTTAGCTTCCTAAAACATTGTTTTCTCTGTTCATCATTATAACCCCATCCTTTACATTTTGTACTTTGCATAGGCTCCTCCTTCTCTACTATCTTGGTTTAAAGAGTGACATTCTCCAGGGTTTTTATCATTATTTTGCTGTTCCTATGCACACCTATACATTATCTTAAGGAGATTTCACCCATTCTGATTATTTTAACTATCCCCATGTCCTGATATCTCCAAAA